AAAAAGGAATCACTTCGCTGTTTTATTGCAGTTTTTATGGTATTGCATAAAACATTTTTGGCTTCGTGATTTACCTGACTTCACTCTTTTATGACCACAGAAATGTGAAATGTACCTAAAATCAGCCACACCCAACAGCTGAACTTAATAGACAAGTAGTACCACAATTAACCTTCTGTGACTACTGTCAAGAATATATATCTCATAAACGTCATTATTAGACATTTTCCAACATTTTATTTGTTGGACAAATGAAGTCTCTCAGCCACTCTGGAATGCAATCTCCTTTAAGAGATGTGTACCTGATTGAAGCCTTGGTGAGTAAGGGTCCTTTAAGCTTTCACAACAAATTGAAAGCATCCCCCCACCCCCTTGATGGTACAGAACTCTGCAGTCTTAATCAGGTTTTATACAACCCCTGAGCAGATTCCAACATCATTCTGAAGGACATTATACCAAGAGAACCCATAGCTAATTTCTATTCAAGAATGAAATAACCTCTGATTTGAATGATAATACAAATCTGGATTCCCAAATTTATATCTAACATTGCTTTTATTTATCAGGAAATAGCTAATGTATATGAGTCAACAAGTTTCATTTTTGTTGAATATCAAAAATGATCAGCATGTAATGTCTCATCAGAGACCTCCTCAACACCAGCCAAAAACACAGCTTAGAAACTTGTTTGTTTCTGGGTCTCATTTTTTTTTTATCTAGATGTACCATGAGTTTTAAAAATCAAACTATCTTTAAATATAATTTATAAACATGTAATACTATTCTGTTCACTATAAAATAAAAACAAAACAGAAAATATTAGATAATGAAAAAAAATAAATAAAAATGAAAGATCTAATATTTACTTCTTATAATTCCATGGATTGTCCTGCACACGTTTTGGAGTTCTACACTCCACACTGAAGACTTTTGTTTCCACACACAAGGGAAGTCATTACAAAACCATGCTGTGAAGTTACAGCTTAACCTCGGATGGATGACCCTGTCAACTCCACCCCCATCTGCTCTGCCTTTACCTTTCTTTCCAGTTGCCCAGGTTCAGATTTATGGTCCTCTTTTTGTAGTAACAACCCTATGCTAACAACTTTTCAAAATTTGTTTACATGTAAAATAAAATACAAAATAATCAGTGGAGATTTGGATGAGGCAGGGAATAAAGAGTTAAAAGATAACTGCACATTTGGGTGTTTGGGAAAAGAGTGCACCTTTAGAAAGAAGGTAGCTCTAAGGAACAGAAGAATGTTTACAAAAAAAGACTACTTAGTTTATCTACAAATTATGGAAAAACAAAAACATTTCTTCTACTCTTTCTGTTTTGAACATTTATGAACATTTTTATGAACATTTTTCCTGGATTACTGAGATTGAAGTCCTATAAACAGGATGTTCGATCCCAGGGCAATGTCCTTCTATTATTAGCAGAGACTACCAAGGGTGGGCATGTTAGCAACATGTAAAGTACATCATTTTTAAAGAAATTTAAAGTAAAGCTAAGAGTAAGTAAATTTAATACCATTTTTATTATCACCATGCATGGCAATTCTAAATACTATCAAGAGTAAAATATTCCTTTCCAAATGTTGTTAATCTAAATTCTAAATAATTGTGGTGATTACTGTTGAGTTTTAGTCATATGAATTTAAAGCTTCTGATTAGCACATTTTATTATTCGTCCTTTGATAAACATTGTATTCTACATGGAAGTTAATTCAGAGAAATTTCAGTTAGCTAGGTGCCCCTACATACTTGCCTCAGTTACCCACTTTCATTTCAACAGTTAGTAACAACTCAAAACATTTGTTTCTCATATCTTGTGTTTCCAATCTCTATACTACAATATATTCCTGGATTTAAACAGCAGATTCTAAATAAATGTAGTCCAGTGATTGCAAAGACAAATTAACAGAAATTGAATTACATTCATGTGACCATTATATATGATTATATGAATTTAATGTGTTAAAAATTAAAATTGAAACAGTGAAAACCAGGAGGTACAATATTTTTCTTTGATAAGTACAAACTTCAGTTCACATATAAAATATTATAATGAAATATTTTTAAGATTGATTTTTTTTCTTTGACAGTGTTTTTGTCTTAAAACCATAGATTGGATCAAGAATAGTGACCTTAACTAATCATTATATAATTACTACTGAAAATAATTTTGTTACATATAGGACAGGGGTGTTAAAAAGTGACTCCTTATGTGCCAAATATGCTGGACATGCCACTGACTAAAAATATTCCCCAGAGGTGATGGTCCCCATCCCTGTGGTCCAGGCTCATTATAACCTACTTGACTCTCCTACAATCCTGTTCTCTTTCCTTGCCATTCCCAACAAACTGACTGGTCAATGTAATTAAATTCAGGTACCTAAACCTATATTTTTGTAGTCATCCACTTTCAGACTATCACTTTCTTTACCTGATTCATAAATAATAAATAGAGGTTTCTGTTTTCCTGTTAGAGTATCTTTTAGTAGGTCCAGTTGTGTACTGATTCCTCTTAAATTTATATCACTGACTCTTACCTATTCAGTGAACAGAAGATTTGTGTACCCAATTTTTTATGCTACAACTGCATCTGGATGCCTAAGAGGCAGATTAAATTGACATGATCAAATATGATTTAATGTTTCCCACCATATCTACTCTCTCCCCAGAGAACTTCATATCAGTAAATTCCATTATTCTTCAATGTGTTGCTTGGGATTAACACCTGGGTATCTCATTTCTCTCTTTCTCCTACATCCACATCCAGTAAACCCTATAGAGGCTCAAGTATCTACACATAATCCAAATGCATCCAGTCTTCACTCCATCCCCAACTCCCGCCCGAGACCTAGAAATCTGTAAAATCCTGCTACCGTCTGTTTCCCAGCTTATCTGTTTCCCATCCATAGACTCTTTCACAGTGGCCATTGTAAGCTTTTAAAATATAAATAATCTCACCTGATCCTCCGAACAAAACACTTCCATAATTTTCTGTCAAATTCACAAAACTCAAAGCCATGACACCAGTGCACAAGCTCTCTATAACCAAGTAGAGGTGGTACCTCTGGCCTCTCCTGGCTCATCTGTCCCTTACCTCACTCCAGGTGAGCCATGCTGCCGTTGTTGCCATTCCTTCAACATACCAACAGTCACCCGCCTTAGGCTCTTCACACATGATTTCTCCTCAGCCTGGGACACTTGTCCAGATTTCCCCAAGACTTTCCCCTTCACTTCTTCAGGTCATGGGTACCTCTTATGAGACGCCTTCCCTGAACACTCTATGCTACGTGGAACACCACACCAGCACACCCTACTGCCTTGCTTTGGTTGATTTCTCCTCAGGGCATTTTTCAGTATCTGACATATTATACTTCTACATTATTGTTTACATTTCCCTCCCAAGTTAGAATGTAGTCTCGAAAGGGCAAGGATCTTGTCTGCATTGCCCATGGCTGAGTCAACCAAAGCTAGAATTGGTACAGAGAGGCTCTACAAATATTCATCCCATTAACCAATGAATTGTTTTACCCGACTTTTATACCAAAGTCCAGTCTCTGATCTTTCTTGTTCACTCTCCCCCCTCCCCTTCCTCAACTCCTACTTGGTTATTGAGAATGCCTCTTTTGCTGGCATCTCTGGGCCTCACTCTCATGTTTTCTTGACAGAACCTTGTAGAAAAAAAATTGCAATTTGTTAGCAGGCGTCTCTAGGGAAGGAGGCAGAAAGCCTGGCCACATAAATAGAGTGGGCTTTTCCAGCTCTGATTGCCTCCAGTAATGGTCACCCCCACAGCTATTCTCTGCCTCTTCATTGTGTTTTCTTTAAACCTCATTTATTCGTGGTGGCCACCTGCCCCATCCTGGATGATGAATTGGAGCACTTTTGCTTTTTGTGGGCACATATGACTCCTCATTCTCTCATTCATGATTCTAAAATGTAAAAAAGTTCTGAAAGCCAAGAATGTTTTTTCTAAACTTGATGCTAACTCACTTGGCAGGAAAACTTATGTGGTTCTTTATGACCATTATTTATTCCATGCTAATATTCACACATTTTATAACAGATATATTAATGTGTTTGATTAACAGAGTGCTGCTATAGACTTCCTTGCTGGTATAACATAAAATACAGAATTTGCTCTGTCTAGCTTTCCCAAATCAGAACTCTTTTGAGTTGTGAAACATGTCTGGGCTCAGAGGTCTTTGATGATGGAGGTGGCTGAGTCTGACTCAACTTTCCTAGCCACATGTGGTAGAAAGGGATATCCATATGACCCAGAACTAAAGACTAAAATGTAAGAGGAAATCTTTTGATCTTCTAGAAAAAAAGAATCCTGCTTCCAAAATGAAAAAGCCAAGCCTCAAATGGAATGGTTTTGCCTCAATTCTTGCTTCGTGCTCAGGGTCTGGACTGAGGATGTGGTACTTGCCACCTGTGTCTGTGAGGAGCCAAGATGAAAAGGTGAGTTGAATATTGTCGGGGGAAAGGGGAAGAGAAAAAATCAAACTAATAATAACAACCCTATCCCCAAAAGAGCCTGGAATCATGCCTCATGTTCTTCTTAAGTAAATAGAAAACTCCCTTATTTTTCAGCCAAGGTTACTCAGTCTCTCTGTTAATGGCCCAGATGGGATATGACAGGTACAATATAACAATGTGTCTGAACAGGTGTCAAATAGGATCCTCACTCAGCAGACCACAAAGTAACCACTTCCTGATGAAGGATCAAACAAGAGGTTCTAATATGGGACAGGCAACAGAAGACCCAGGTGCTAGCCTTATCAGTTTGCCAGTAAGTGAGGAGAGAGAACAATAAGGCAGGAGCACACCCACTGACAAAGAACCAACACTGTTGCAGCAATTGCTTATCATGAACACACTCAAGTTTATCACAATCCTGTGTCATGCTTATGTGGTAATGGTGCCAAAGTCAATACCACTGGGTATTAAAGCGTTGTTGCTTGCCTAGTCCTTGCAAAACTTTTCTGAACTTTTTGGTGAGTGAGTCTGCACTGCCAAAATCCTCTTTGCTTCTCCAAAGAGCTTAAAGAGATCCAGTACTGGTAATGCTCTTCTTCGATCCTTGCTCCCTTGAGACTGTCCCTCACACCCATGATGGAGCTCAGCGATCTCAGCTTCTTTCCATTTTCCCTCCCAGCTCCAGGACACTGACTTCCTACAAGATGAAGCATACTTCTTGCCTCCTCATCTTCATCTCCCTTCTTCAGTTGATGACTCCGGGGAGTTTTCAGTGTTCCTTAGACTCTATAGTGAATAAAAGAATTCAGGAAGCTCTCAAAGGTATAGGGAACTGCCGGGAATTGGGAGAAATAGGAGGTTCACCCTTACTCATGCCTCCTGTTCTTAAACCCTAATTTCACCCCTAGTGCATCCTAAGTCAGTCCTAGTCAGCCCACCAGAGCCCAATCTTCCTGCCCAGGGCTTCCTTAACTCTTCTACCCACTTTGGGCTCTTGACTCAAGTTTTCCTGATGAGGAGGAGGAGGAGAAGAGGGATAGTTATAAAACATTCAAATGTAATACATAGATTTATGTTGATTAGTTTAATTTCCAAAGCCACTTTATGAGGTAAGTACAGCTATAACTTCCACTTTACAAATGAGGAAGCTAAACCTTAAAAGTTATGATTGTGGACACAGTGATACCTCTAAGGTAGAAGAAGATCTGGAAGGGGATTATGAGAAAGCATCATGATGGGCAATATGTCTCTCTCCTACTCAGAGTATAAACCCTCCATCCCAACCAAGACACTCTCGTGTGTCAGCATCACAAGCTCAGGAAGACTGTCCTCCTGTCCCGCTGGTGAGTAACACCATGTGGAAGACTTGTGGGTAAGATGCCCCTGTTTTCCCTGCCCATCCCCTAATACATATACGTTCCCCAAGTTAAGGTCTGTGTTACCTTGAAGCCAAGCCGTAATTTCTGCTTCTCGGAGATAACTTCCCATCCCGTTTTCCTTAGGATGCTATTGAGAGATCTTGAGTTTCTATTACTCCCCACTGTTCTGCCCCCACACACCAGCCCATTCACGTCAACTGCCTTGTCATAGTGATAGCTTTAGTCTCTCTCTAGTTCTAAGCCTCTGTGTTGGTGGTGGTGATGGGGCATTCACAGAGGTAAATTTATCAATTTAAAGAAACTGAGCCGGACATGGTGGTGTATGCCTGCAATCCCAGCAGCTTGGGAGGCTGAAGCAGGAGGATCACAATCACAAGTTCAAAGCCAGCCTCAGCAAAAGCAAGGCACTAAGCAACTCAGTGAGACCCTGTCTCTAAATAAAATATAAAACAGGACTGGGGATGAGGCTCAGTGGTTGAGTACCCCTGAGTTCAATCCCTGGTAACCTCAAGAAAAAAAAAGAAACTGTTGTTGCTTCTGTAATTTAGGGATTTTTTTTATTCTTAAAACAGACTGCAACATTGACTGTAATTTAGCCCCCACAAAACCTAGATTTATCCCTGGGCTTCACGGGGATAAAAGATGTTTACAAATGTGCCTTCCAGTTCTCAAGATCCAAGGGCTCTGATGTCAGTGTCTCACATGTCCATGCAGGTATGGTCGTCACTGGTTGTGCTTGTGGTTATGCCTGTGGTTCCTGGGATGTACGGGGAACAACCACATGTCACTGCCAGTGTTCTGTGATAGACTGGACCACTGCCCGTTGCTGCCATCTGGCCTGAGAAGAAGGAGGCCGAGAACCCAATTTTGTGATGATGTCTATAATGAAACTGTGATTCCAACCAGGAAATATCATTTATTATAATACTGTTTCTTGAGCAATAAGACCAACTTAAAAAAAAAAAAAAGAAAGAAAATAAAGACCAACGTTGTACTTCCCTGCATTTATGTCTTTGATGTTATTGACCTTAGCTTGGGATTCTTCTAGCCGGAAAATATTTTCAGTATCTCAGAAATTCCATCTTAGTATGGCATGTAGGATTGGTGGTTAGGAAAGCTAAGGGAAGAACGGGGGAAATTAGACTGACATGCCTTCCCCTCCCTCATCATTTAATAAAAAATGTCAAGCATATTGCTTGGCATGAGGCACAGAGAAGTGAAATAACATGCTCTTATGGAACAATAGTGGGCTATAAGCTGAGTGCATAAAGAATTTCCAAAGTATAGGCAGGCAAGGGTAGCTTTAAAGAAATAGTTTCTAGATTTTCAGCATGTATTTGTACTCTTTCTTAAACTCAAGTACCCGAGATGTGCTTTGATCAAGGTGACTTCTTTCACCACTGCCTTTCTCCGAGGCAACAATAGAAGACTACAGCCCTCACTGAATCTTGCATGAAGTAGAATTGCGTGCGGTGGCAGGCCACCAAAATCAGGCCATAGGAGAATTTGTCTTGGGCTTTCTGAAAAAGAGTTTAGTGCCTAAATAAAAACAGAGACTCAAAATTGTCCATGATTCTTGTTTCGTGGGTTATTTGTGTGAGGGAGGACATGATGTCTAGAGCCTTGTCAGACATCTTGTGTCTGTGAAGTTAGTTCAACCATCTTGTGACCTTTTAGACAGAACTATTAGAATGGTAAAACAGAAAAGAAGAAAGGAACCCAGGGCTGCAATTATATTATTCCACCTCTGAACAATCTCTGGAATCATTTAAACATGTTTCTTAATAATGAAATTATAAACATCCTTATTTATTCATTTAACAAATATTTATTAAATTCTATCTATATCAGGCATTGGGATTCAGCAGGGGCCAAAATAGGTAATTATTACTACCTTTATAAAGTCTGCATTCTATTTCTAAGTCTTCTGGCTAGGAATTTTGTTGCTTTCCTATGGATAGGATTAATCTAGGGCAATGTCATGTTATCTAAGCAGATGACTACCAGGGCATACATTTTATACTTCGATTTTCCTGTTAAAGCAATAAATGAAAAGCCTATATTGAGAGATGTCATCAAACTTGATGATTCCTGGCAGGGTAGCTGCCAGGTTTGTGGGGCTGTTGGGGAGAAAGAAAAAGTCAGGAATACTTCCCTAAATAGAGAAGCAGAGCAAAGGCAAATAGAACTTCTTAGGATGCACTTGAGATTGTCCAAGCCTCCTCCTGAAGGCCTGAAGTCCTTCCTGCCTCCTTAGATCCCAAGTACTGCCAGAGTGTTTGTGGAAGTTAACCATTACCTGCATCAGACACTGAACATGCAATGAACACTTAGCTCCCAACCTTTGCAATCTACAATCATTTGTCTCAGGCTGACTGGTTCTAAAAGAAAAACATAAATCATCACTGATATAGAATCTGATAGCCTATCATCTATGATTTGTAGACAAGTTGACTTCAATTCTAGAACATTAAATTAACAATAAAAGATAATATTCCTAGTTACTGAATTTGTGGGGGCAAAAAAGAAAGAAGGGAAAAAATGGGACCACTCTCTAGTGCTCTTTCTCCTTCCCATAAGTCTAGTATAAATATTCATGATACTAGGCATACCTTCCCTACAGATGGAAACATAGTGGTTCAGAATATGGTTCCATGATGAGGATATGATTAGAAGAACTAGAAAAATATGATTGCCTTTTAGATTCTTATGGGAGGGTGGTGTTATGGTTTGGAAATGAGATGTCCCCCCAAAGCTCCAATGTTCATGCAGGAATATTCAGAGGTAAAATATTTAGATGATGAGAGATGTAACCTAATCAGTCTAATCCAGTTTGAATGGAGTAATAAGTATTATAGGCAGGTGGGGCAAGGAGGGAGGAGGTGGGTCCACTGGGAGCATGTTCTGGAAGCATTCATCTTCCCTGCAACTCCTTCTCCTTACTATCTCTGCTTCCTAGCCACCATGAACAGAATAGTTTTACTCTATCATGCCCTTCAACCACGATATTTTGCTTCATCCTGGGCCCAGAGCAATGAAGTTGGCTGACCATGGATTGGAACCATAAGCTCCCCTCCCCCGCAAACTTTTCCCCCTTTAACTTATTTTTGGCAAGTATTTTGGTTACTACAATGAAAAGCTGACTAACACCAATGCAAGAACCCTGGTGGTATCACAAGTCAGATGTTATAGTGTTGTTCTCTCATCTCCTCCCTCTATTCCTGTCCACCTTCCTTTTGCCATGCTATGAGTATTACAGCAAAGTTCTTGCTCCTCACAACTCTTTAGGTTAAATTACTTATTTTGAAGGCTCAAGTGAAAAATAGATATGACAAATATCTATTTATTACTGTTCTTCTCATGTAGACCAATAATCTGTAAGGAAAAAAGGAATCACCCAAACACAGGCCAACAACTACTAATCTTTACAACCCACAACCTAAAAATACCATGAAAATAAGACAACGAAGGAAAAATTTCAGAAACCTATACATTATTCAGTAGTTTTTGCTAATTTAGTATTTTCACAATGAGGTTGGAGGGATGGAACATTCAGAAAGGAAAGAGGAAGAAAAGCAAAGAAAAAATTATGTGCATTTACTCATTCTTTACTCAAATGCTTAATACATTCTATGTAAGATTCACATGTTACTCTTTGGTTATCTAGAGTAGCAGGCCTATCCTCCTTTTATACTGCAAAAGTGATTTTCAACCAGAGAAATTACAAATATCCAGATATATTTATGGTTGTCATGCAAGACAGGGGAAATATATTGCCATCTAGTGAGTATTAGCCACAGATGCTGGGAAATATCCTGCAATGCACAAGAGAGGCCATATAAAGAATCATCTTATATGAAATGTTGGTAGCCTAATACATTTACATTAAGAAACTCAGTGCTAGAATATATGCTTCTATCATGAGAGAGATGACCCTATTTCTCACTTAGAACACTTGGAACAAGTATTAACAAAGTGAAAAGTACTATCTTTCTAAAGACTTCTATTGATAGGCTAATAATACTTATGTATCTCTGTTCCCTAATTCTTATAAGGGCTGCTTATAACCTGAACTCCAAATTTTACAAATAAATGATTTTAACACTTCTTCCTCACATGCTAGCAATTAGAAGTACATTTCTTCCACAGGCTTAAACTGACCAATGCATAAGTACCTGGAAATATTTTGAATGGCAGATTTACAGTTCTACAGAAGTCAAAAAACTATAAGAAAGAAAGGGATTTATGCTAGCAGTGCCTCATGTTTTATTTGTCTACATGACAATTGTATTTACTTCCTTGTGTGCTCTCTGGGTGTCAGAAGGCAGAGCTTCTGTATATTTGCGCAGTAAAACTTAATGGGACCATAATGGGAAACGTTGATAATCTAATAAACCATCATCAGACTCTTATTTTTAGTTGTCGCATACCCTTTTTCTGAGATATTGTGCTATTTTAGCTAAATAAATCTCCTTTCATTTAGGTGAGAGGAATTATTATTTTTTCTTCTGGAAAACCCATAGAGAGGAAATGTCAAACACATAAACTGTATGATAAGGAAATGTTAGTACTAAGACTTGGACATAATCTCTTAGAATATGGACTGGAGGTAGAAGAGAAGATCCTGGATGATGAACAGAAACTCCTGCATGGCTCTAAATAATCTGAAAAGACAACAGAAGGACTTCTACAACTCCACAGAAGCATTACTTACCTAAGCAATGAAGATCATTTGCATGAGCAGTGGTATAATGTGAGGGAATCTAAGAACACTCCCCTTTTTTAAATGCCCTTGTCTTTTTGACCTCAAATAGTAACACTACATTAATTTGGAAAGCAAAAGGGACTAGAAATTTCTGAGCCTTCTAATTAAATACATATATTAAATATATTTAATAGGAAGGATCCCTCTCTGAGCTTTTCTGGACAGTGTGGTTTGTATAATGGGCGGAATCATAGAAGCTAAATTTTAAAAATTATCAAAGTTTACAGTATTCACCCTGTATATATTCAAAGCTCTGCCTCAGAGGGAAATAAGAGGGAAGTGGAAGAAAAATTGTTCCCTTCCTGGGAGAGGCCCCATAGCTGAGGGGAAAGTGCTATAAATAGTAGGGATGTGAGGATATGTCTGTAAGGGGTCAGGAGGGAAGGGTGGACCAGACAGAGATGATGTTCAACCCCAGGACTACAAAGACCCCAGCATACAATTTTCCAATCCCAAAGAAAGAATTTAGAGGACTTAATGGAGAGGGCTTAAACATCTTATTACTCCTGTACTCCTCAGCAGTGGCAGCCCTGTGAAAGGGAGGGCCACTCTGGCCTACAAGCCGGGGAATGTGTGGCATAGGTTGCATGCCCTCTGGGCAGATGGAATTCTTTAGATATTTTGTGAGTACATTGTGCTTTGATCACTGCGCTTTGATCCTCACCTGAAGACTGAAGACAAGGGAAGTGGCCCATTTCATTTCTTTATTTCCTTTGTTATCAACATTCTTTGGAGTCCTTCTCATTTCACTGCCTGGAACAAGTATTGCTAGGCACTCACTAGTGTTTACCCCAATAGAAAAGGAGATTGAAGAGGACCTGAGACTGAGTGTGCTTAGATTTTAAAAGGTGGGCTTTCTCCCGTTGCATTCTGAAAAAAAATTTATTGTAAGTGAGGTTTAGGGGCTTCATTAATCCCAGGAAGAAATTTGTGGGCTCTCATTGGCATATAGTTGGTAGAAATTTTGCAGCCAAACAATAGGCTTCAAAAGGAAAGAACCTGGTGCAAAACTTAATTCTAAGCTTAACTTATGTGCGAAATAAGGCTCATAAGTTTAAGGTAAATAAGGAAAAGTACAGCTATCTAGACAATTCAACAGTGTATTGTCTGTTATTGATTTTTGTACACTTACGTAGAAAATACACATGGGTTAAACTACATTGGGTGTGGTTTCCTCTAACTGGAATTATTACCCTTAAGATTAAAACTTTT